TGCACCGCCCGCCGTGCGGATTCGGGTCGTCCCTTAGACGTTTCACCTAGAGCAAGCAGGGCGACGCGCCCCCACGCCCATCCGCGGGCCGGTCCACTAATTCTTTTCTGTGTTAGTGCCAGTGCGCGCCAGTCCCGTGCCCAGTGTTGTGCCGTACGCCCGCCCGAGGTGCGCGCCGCTGTATCTGCGCCCGACCGCAGCAGGCAGCGCACGACGGCTGGGTAGCCCTTGTAACACGCGATGTGCAGGGGCGTCCAGCCTTTGTCCTCAGCTTGGTCGATCGCCGCGTCCGCTTCGAGGAGCAGCTGGACGATGTCGAAGCAGCCGTTCCAGCACGCGACGTACAGCGGCGTGGCGCCGTCGTCCTTGGCTTGGTTGACCGCCGCGCTGGCCTTGATTGAGGAGCAGCCGGGCGCACATGAGGTGGCACGGTCGCGGCGTACAGCGGCGTGCGGCCGCCGACAATGCCTTGGTTGACCGCCGCGCCACGCTGCAGCAGCAGCGCGGCCACCTCTTCGTGGCCACGCGCGGCGGCGGCGAACAGCAGAGTACTGCCGGACGGGATCGTAGCGTCGACCAAACCTCCGCCGTTGAGCCACACTTGCACTGCTCCGTCTTCGCCTCGCACCACCGCTTTCACGACCTTGTCCGGAACATCGTCCGACGAACCGGGCATGTGCATCTGAGAGGTGGCGGCGCTGCCAGGGGTTGAGGGCGGGAGAGCGGCGGGCCGGCGGGAGGCAACCCGATATTGAATTCTTTGCCGGTTTTAGAGGGGCGAGGTCAAAATTAGAAAAGGGAATTCTTTTCTGCGCAGAAGCTCGCCGACCTCAGACTGTCGCCCGAAGGGCGGTCGACTCGATGCCGCGCTGCGCTGCCCTGCTCGTGCTTGCGTCCCTCTCGCCCACATCGAGCCTACTGCTTCAGCCGTCTCGACGCAGCGCACTCCGGCTCGCCGCGGCCGGGATAGCGCCGCTCGCGCCGTTGCTGCCGGCATCCGCTCGGAGCAAGGTGAGGCTCTAGCAACCGCCACAGTCCCACGCGCTTGCGCCGCACGGCCATCAACTCTGCCGCCCTCGCATCGAGCTCTAGTCGTCACAGGTCCGCGGTTTGCGCCGCACGGCCATCGACAGCTCTTCCTGTCCTCGCATCGCAGGAGAAGGCAGCAGAAAAGGCATTGCAAAAGGCCGTCAAATGAAGGACACGCGAGGGCCGGCCTCCCTCCCCGCCCTCCGCCGACGGCGCGGCATCCCCAACCGTCAGGCGACCGCGAGCGAGGCCAGGCAAGCGATGAAGGAGTACAAGTACGCGCCGCGGCCCGAGCTGGTCGGCAGCGCAGAGACGGCGCCTGGGCTGCGCGCTCCTCCTCCCATCCGGACGACGCGGCTCACCTCTCTGCGGTCGCTCGGGATAGGGGTACGCGTTCAAGGCTGGCACCGTCCAGGCCGGCTCGCAGGGCGAGCTCTCGTCGTACTTCAAGCAGAAGGGCGCGACGATCCAGGCCTCTTACGCTGAGGACAAGGCGCGCGCCGCCGGGCTCTCCAAGGAGGAGGCCGCCAAGGTGGCGAGCAGCACGCTCCAGAAGCGGAAGGAGGAGATCGCGGCCAAGTCGCGGCGCGAGCTGTCAGAAGATGAGAAGAAGATTGCGGCGTACGCCGAGAAGAACAGGGGCATGAAGGACGAGCAGGGCCGCCTCATGTTCTGAGAGCAGGCCCGCCCGCCCTCTCGATTTTTGTGTGCGCCGCGCGCTGCGCCGTGTGTGGCGGCTGAGCGCGGAGGGTCCCACCTCTTGCAACAATCTTAGCGCGCACTGCTTCCCTCTCACTGTTCGCGGCAGGTACACCCGTTTTCAGAATGGCATACATGGAAATCTCTGCGCAACATCGGAAGATCCTTGGACTGTAGATCGTAGATGCCTTTTAGAGATCTCTTAAGTGGCAAATCTCCTGCCAAGAGCTGCAGTAGATTGAAGAACTGGTGGAGGCAAATCTTCTCCGGTGTAGATGCTCGAGAGGAGTCTGAGATCTCGCGTTTGGTGCGTGCAGTCGCTTGAGATCTTGCGACAGAGGTGGAGATTCTGACTTCGCGCCAAAGGCGCCTAGAGATCGTGTGGGCCGACTGGAGATTGCAAAATGGCGCGAAAAGAGGGTGGAGATCCTTTTGCATTGTGAATGAGTCCATAGCGCATCTCCTTGAAGGTTTGAGCCCCCCTCCTCCCCCGGGCCCCCGAATCGACAGTGGAGATTGGAGATTGGAGATGGAGATCGGAGATCTGACTGAATCCGGCCTAAGATGACGACGTTGGAGATTGGAGATTGAAGATGGAGATCGGAGATCTGACTGGATCCGGCCTAAGATATAGCGACGCTGGAGATTGGAGAGTACTGGAGAGATGGAGATCGGAGCCCCCCAGCCCCTAGTGGTGTCTCATCGATTTTTTTGTTTTGTTTTTAGATAAAGGTCTGTGCGCGGACGGCCCGGGGAGCCTGCGGCGCCATTTTAATCTGCGCTCCTCTTTATGGCCTGCGGCGCCTGGCTTGAGCTTGGAAGTGTAAACGAGTCCGCCAGGGCGGTCTGCAAACACGAAGCGCGCTGCGCGGCGCGCGCGGTCTACGCCGAACTGGGGGCGGTATCATGGTTCACGCTGCCAACTCGGCAAATAGGCTCGCCGACATAGACCGCGTACATAGACCGCGCGCGCAGCGCGCTCCGTTTGCAGACCGCCCTGGCGGACTCGTTTACACTTCCAAGCTCAAGCCAGGCGCCGCAGGCCATAAAGAGGAGCGCAGATTAAAATGGCGCCGCAGGCTCCCCGGTCCGTCCGCGCACAGACCACAGGAAAAAACAAAAATCTATAAAACATCTATCAACACCACTAGGCTCTAGGGGGTGGGTGGGCTCCGATCTCCCCATCTCCAATATTCTCTAATCCACAGCGTCGTCATCTTAGGCCGGGGATCCAGTCAGATCTCCGATCTCCATCTTCAATCTCCAATCTCCAACGTCGTCATCTTAGGCCGGATCAGATCTCCGATCTCAATCTCCAATCTCCAATCTCCAATCTCGATTCGGGGGCCCGGGGGAGGAGGGGGCTCAAACCTTCAAGGAGATGCAATTTGGATTCATTCACACTGACCATCTCCAATCTCCAATCTTCTACTTGGCCACTGTCGCCGCCGGCAGCAATCTACGACCTCCATTTTCAATCTTCGATCTCACATCTGGGGCGGATGGCTGGGCGCTAGGATCTACAATCTGCATTCTCCATCTCCTATCTCCACATTTTGGCCCTGTTGCTGCTCAGAGCGATCTGCAATCCACAATCTCAATCTTCGATCTTTAGTCTTGAATGGGGAACCGGACAGGACGGATCTACTGGCGAGACTTGGGCGTGTCCGTGTGAGAGATCCGCTAGGATCTCCAGTCTCAATCTACTATCTCTACCCCAACGATCTACTGGTCTTGCGCAGAGATTTCCATTACTCCAGAATGGTACTGCGGAGAGAGAGCGAGTGGAGAGAAGGTGTGAGAGCGACCCTCCTCGCTCCTGAGAGTCAGAGAGGCCGTGCGCGCCGGTGGAAAAGCGCAAAAAGGGGCGTCGGTACTACATGCACACATCGGCGTGCTTTCAGACTTCCCCATCTCCCACCACGGGAGCTCTGACTGTGAGCTGTGAGCTGTATGGGTCGCTCAGAGCATGACGTGAAGTCGACGGCGGCTGCACTCTCGCTACTCGCCGCTACGACTGACATGGCTGGCACACTGCCTCATTCGTCTTGAAGAACTGGGATCTCGGCTTCGTAGGTTCGGCCCGTCTCCGCCGCCGCCACAGCAGCAGGGGCAGCGGCGACCACACGAGGACGGTCGTTGTGAGAGCTGCAGCTGCGGAGGCCGTGAAGTGGAAGGCAAGCCCGCCAAGACCAAGGCCGAGCACGCCGAGGCGCGCGAAGAGGTGCCGTTTAGAGCCGGCCACTTTAAGCAGGAGGAGGAGGCCGAGGGAGAGAAGGAAAATGCACCATCCAAGACGTGAACTACCTGTGGCGGGAGAGGCCATGCGAAACACCGGTTTCGCCGATGCGAAACAACGGTGCGCAGCGTGACCTCGAGCGGTAGAAGAAGCTGCTCGTGGTCGCCTGCCAGTGGCTTCCTGCCAGTGGTTCTCGAAGCACCGACGGCGCTAGTGCTGCCGCCAGCCAAGGCCACGTTTCGACGCGTGCGTTTTCGACGCGTGCGTTTCGAGCGAGCGACACCCGGAGCGCGTCTGTCCCGGAAAAGAATTTTACAACAAAACTCCCTCGCACAACACTGGGCACAGGACTGGGCACGGGACTGGCTCGCACTGGCACTAACACAGGTACACCGGAAAAGAAAACCTTTGTCGCCCGGCGAAGGCGCACCCCCCCCAGCTAGGGGTCAGGGCTCTCTAGCCCGTAGCCCGATGCCGATCATCCGGCTCGCTGGGTGCGCTTCTTAGCTCCCCGGCCCTGGATGTGAGGTTAATGACTGCACTCCAAGTGCTCCAAGAAAGCTATTCGGCCGGTGCTAGCTAGCGTGCGAGCCCCGCCAGCTCAGGGTGGGCTCAGGGGGCGCGTCGCGCCGCTCGCTCTAGGGAGTTCCTAGGAGTAACGTCTGGCGAATGGAAGACCAGAAATCAAATCTATCCGCAAGACCGGCGGTGGTGACACCCGGCCGGACCACTCACAAAAACAATGTGGGTGGGAGAGTGTGTGTGTGTGTGTGTGTGAAAAGGAGGGACACGCTGTGATTCGGACGGCTAGCCCCACCCGTCCCGCTGTCCCGCATTTCCCCCTTCCGGTAGCACGCTCCCCCGCCATCGAATCTCCGAATCGAACTAAGCACATACTTTTCTGTGCCTTTTGGTAATAGCCGTCCTTTGGTCGTCGGCTTTCGTCGTCGGTGTGCACGCTCGACTCCGCCCCGCGGCGCCCCCACGCGCTCACACCCTCCTCCGTGCTTGCGCACAGAATCGCTGCGCAGCCATGGACACCAAGGATGGTGCGTACGCCAACGACCTCATCCCCAGCTCAAAGGGCCTCACCACGGCCGAGGCCCAAGCGCAGACAATAAAGTGGGGCCGCAATGAGATTCCAGAGGAGAAGGAGCCGCTGTGGAGGATGTTTGCGATGCAGTTCGTGGGCACGATGCCTGCCATGGTGCGCCGCAGCGACGGCCACAAGCCTGCCCCTTCCCCCTCAACTCCCCTCCGCTGACTACTCGACGCGCCCCACGCAGATTGAGATCGCGGGCCTCCTCGCCTTCCTGCTCAAGTCGTACGTCGACTTTTGGATCATCCTCGCGCTGCTTCTGACCAATGCGACGCTCGGCTTCATTGAGGAGATGAACGCGCAGGCCTCCATCTCCGCTCTCAAGGACGGCATGATCCGCAAGCTTCCCACAAAGCGCGACGGCAACTTCACGCCTCTGGACATTGCCGAGCTCGTGCCGGGAGACGTCGTCTTCCTGCGTGGCGGCAATGTGGTGCCGGCTGACTGCAAGTGGATCGAGGGCGACGAGCTGCAGGTCGACCAGGCGGCGCTGACCGGTGAGTCGCTGCCGGTGCAGGTGCCGCGCGAGGACTCTGACGGCGAGCCCGGCTCGGGCAAGAAGCTGTGGTCGGGGTCCGTGCTGAAGACGGGCGAGGCGGAGTGCTTTGTGACGGAGACGGGCGTCCACACGATGATCGGCGAGGCCGCCAAGGCCATCCAGGAGTCGGGCGGCAAGCACGTTGGCGTGTTTGAGGGCAAGATCATCCTCGCCGGTCGCGTTCTGATCGTGCTGACGCTCATCGCCGTGGGGTCGCTCCTCTTCTACCAGGTTGGCATCCGCGGCGTGCCGCTCGAGGAGGTGCTCGAGATGTCGCTCTCGCTCGTCATCGCCTCGGTCCCCATCGCGCTGCCCATGGTGATGAAGGTCACCCTCGCCGTCGGCGCCAAGGAGATGGCCAAGGAGGGCGGCATCGTCACCCATCTCACCGCGCTCGAGGAGATCGCCTCCATGGTGGTCCTCTGCTCCGACAAGACCGGCACCCTCACCACCGCGCAGATGACTGTCTACCACGACACCGCGGCTTGCTTCAACGGCTTCGCCGGCAAGGAGGTCCTGGAGCTGGCGGCGCTCGCGTCCAACCCGGCCAACAAGGACGACGCCATCGACCGCGCCACCTTCCAGGCCTACGCCAAGATGGTTGGCTGCGGCAGCGATGTCGACGCGGCGGCGGAGAAGCTCAAGAAGAAGTGGGCCACCGACAAGTACTTTGGCTTCAACCCGACCGTCAAGCGCACCGTCGCCGACGTGTCGCAGATCGGCGGCTCCCGCAAGATGCGCGTCGCAAAGGGCATCGTCTCCAAGGTGCTCGGCGGCAAGGCTATCGAGGGCGACGGCGGGCAGCAGTGGACGGTCGACGACTTCGTTAACATGAAGAAGGCGGTCGAGGATGCGGACTTGACCTTTGGCAAGAGCGGATACAAGACCATCGGCGTCGCCGTCGCCATTGACGGCGGCCCCATGAAGTACGCCGGCACGCTGCCCATCATGGACCCGCCGCGCGTGGACACGGCCGACACGATCGCAAAGATCAAGAACGCCGAGGTCGACGTCAAGATGATCACCGGCGACCACCTCAACATCGCCAAGGAGCTCGCACGCCAGATCGAGCTCGGCGTCAACATCCAGCCCAACACCGCGCTGTGGCCTGCCTCTGCGGCGCGCGACGACCTCATCCTCCACGCGGACGGATTCGCCCAGGCAAATGCCACCCAAATTGTCGCCACCGCGCACGGCCGCTCCTCGCACAGCCCCCCACGCGCCCACCGCGCAGGTGATGCCCACCGACAAGCACGAGGTGGTCGCTGTGCTGATGGGGATGGGCAAGGTCGTCGGCATGACCGGCGACGGCGTGAACGACGCGCCCGCGCTCGCGAAGGCGCAGATCGGCATCGCCGTCGAGGGCGCGACCGACGCGGCGCAGTCGGCCGCCGACATTATCCTCACCCGGCCCGGCCTCTCGCCCATCTTCACCGCCATCGTCGAGTCGCGCAAGATCTTCAAGCGGCTCAAGTCGTACGTCATCTACCGCATCTGCGTGACGGTGCAGGTGGTCGCCTTCCTGTGCGTGGTCTCGTTCGCCTTCAACGAGGCGTTCGACGCGCTCTTCATCATCCTGCTCGCGCTCTTCCACGACCTGACCATCGTCACCATCGCGTACGACCACCAGCTCCCGTCGCCGCACCCGGAGCAGCCCACCGTGATGATGCTCATCGTGGTTGCCTACTCGATGGGCGCCGTGCTCTCCACCTCGTCGGTGCTGCTCTACGTTATGGGCGAGAAATTCCTCTCGGAGAAGTTCTCCAACCCGAGCACCTTCCGGTACAAGGAGACGTGCATGTTCCTGCAGCTCTCCAACTCGTCCGCGATCCTCATCTTCAACGCGCGCACGACGGGCTTCTCCTTCCTCTCGGTGCCCGCCATCCAGCTCTTCATGTCGGCGGTCGTCTCACAGTGCATCGTCAACACCTTCATCAAGTTCTCGGGCGGCTTCATCGTCGAGCAGCTTGATTCGGCCGACATGCTCAAGATCTGGGCCTACGACCTCTCCTGGCTCATCATCATTGACCTCGTCAAGATGGGCATCATCCGCATCCAGGACGGGCCCATGACCTCGGTCGCCGAGCAAAAGAGCCGCACCACCTTCATGTCCAAGAGCGGCGCGCGCATGTCCAAGGGTCTGTCCAAAGACCTGCGTGTCTCCATCTCTGGCCAGCCCAAGCCGTATTGATTGTCGCATTGTCAGCCAACTGAGAGGGAGGTGAGGGTGGGGCAGGTAGCTAGCGAGCCCAATCGCTCGTCGACGAGCGTGGTGGCGGGAGCACAAGTGTGGGCGGGAGGGGGGGTACTTAGTCCCCTGGCACTGCGCGGTGCCGCGGCAGCTGTGCGGCTTGCAGAGCGACCCCCAGGCCCACGCGAGGGGATCGGCCGGGGGGGCGGGGGGGCGGTTGTCGTCTGAGCCTGCTGCCTGTCGTATGTTTCGCCGCGGGCATTTTGATTACCGCGATTGGGGACGATACCGCTTGAAAAAGACCTCGTCCGCGTATGTGCACCCCCAATGGCGCGCCCCCCCTGGGCGCTGGCCCTGGCTCGTGCGTGGTTTCAGTACTCTCTACTCAAGAGAAACGCCACCGCCCTCCGCGCGCCCGCCCGCGGCCAGCGGAGGCCGGTTCTGCGACGGGAGATGACGGTCTGCGTCACACAGGCCACACATGACAAAACAAGACACAGGTACGAGGGAGGGAGGGAGGGAGGGAGGGAGGGAGGACCGGGAGACGAGCCGCTCTTGCCTGACGGCCAGCGCTGCTCCGTCGGCCCGCCTGATACGACTCCACTGGGCTCTGCCTCAGCGCCGCCCAAAGCCGCCGGGCTTGGGGCGGGTGGAGGCCGAGGCCTTGTGCAGCGCACTGGCGGGGAGCGGAGGGTACTTGGACAGGTCGAAGCCGGCGTCCTCGTCGGTCTCCAGGCCCCACTCTTCGATGAGCTTCTTGTCCGGCTTGTTCGTGTTCTCGGCGACGTGGCCCACCTTCGGCGAGGTGTATCTCGGGGTCTTCATGGGACGTCGCCTCGGGGGCCCCACCATCTCCCGGCCCCACCATCTCCATGCAAGCGCACTTACGGCTCTCTCTCGGTCGTGTCTCTCCAGGCGATCTCTCGGCGACATCTGGCACCATGTCCAAGCAGGTGCGCCGCCGCTTCTTCAGCTCCTTGAGAAGCTTCGAGTACGCGTTGACGGCCTCGTGCGACTCCTGCTCGGACCGCCACTCCTCTCACGCTCGCCGCCGCGCGCAGAGGAGGCGCTCTCGCCGCCGCCGCGTGCGCCGCTCCGTCTCGCTCGGCGCATTCTCTCGGCGACCTCTCCGCCGAATCCCGTCTACGCTAAACGCCTTCTCGCTGAGCGGCTTTTGGTCGCCGTCCGCGCCCTTGAGCGCAGCCACCTCGGCCTGCTTCTTCCACACGCGCTCCTGCGGCGGGGGAGGTGCGTGTCGGGGGTGTCCGCACCCGGCCTTTCCAGCCACACCGCCGCGCCTCGATCGTCTTCTTCTGCGCCATGAGCTCGCCGAGCGACTTGCGGCCCGACGCGGCCCTCTCCGCCGCCTTGAGCTGGGCCTGCTCGCGGCGGGCACTCGGCGTGAGGGGCGGCTCGGGCAGCGGCCGCACCCGCCGCAAGGCTCGAGGGGCGGCGCGCCAGCTCCGCCTCGGCCGCCTGCTTCTCGGCGGCCGCGGCCTCGATGTCGCGCGTCAGTGCCTGCAGCTCCGCCTCGCTCGGCGCCTGCACCGCCTGCTGGTTGGCCGAGTAGATCTTTGACTTGCCTATGCACAGAGGATCGATGGTCCCACCCCCGCCCGCAGTGCGCCAGAACAGCTCACCAGACAAGGGACACCGTTCTCCTTGAGCACCGCGTCGCCGGACGCGGCGAGCGCGGCGAGCGCCTTCTCCGCCTGCGGCTTGGTCATCGACGCGCGGAACTGGTCGGCGACGAGCTGGGCGTTGACGGGCTTGTTGTACATGATGAGCCAGTCGAGGACCGCGCCTGCCGTCCAGCGCGGGGAACGGAACGGGCGGTGGGCGAGCCGGCTGGCGAGGAGGCGGCGGCACTCAGGGCGCCGCAGGGAACGGGTGGTGAGGAGGGCGCGCGGGGCGCGGGCCTGCAGATGTCCCGGCGTGTGCGGACGTGCGCGCGGGCGCCGGAACCAGGGACGTGGACGACGACGATGCTGCCGCTGCGGCGGACTTGGGTGCCGGCGCGGGCGCGGGAGCGGCGGCAGGAGCGGCGGCAGGAGCGGCGGCAGGAGCGGCGGGCTTTGGCTCGTCCGGAGCGGGCTTTGGAGGCTTGGCCGCCGGCTTCTGCTTCTTGGATGGCGCGTTTGAGGCGCCAGAGGAGGCGAAGTCGTCGTCGTCCGAAGGGGTCGAGTTCTCGTCGTTGATGCGGCGTGGCGGCATGGCTGGCTCACCTAGTCGGTGCAACGGCGGGAAGGCGGACCAAAGAAAAGACGTTCCGTCCGCAGGTTTAGGGCTCTATAGCCCGTAACCCGATCCCGATCATCCGGTGAAGTGCTCCAAGTGTTGCCCAGGCCGATACCGCGGGGTGCGCTTCTTAGCTCCCCGCGTCGTCCCCGGCCCTGGGAGCCCTGGGTAAATAAATAAATAAAAACGGAACCTCTCTACTGTGAGATGGGTAAAAAGGAACAACAGAGAGAGAGAGAGAGAGAGGAGAGAGAGAGAGAGAGAGCCAACCGCCAATGGCCGTTATCCGTTAGTGCGGACGTCGCCGCGGCTCGCCTCTGCCGCGGCGGCTGCTGCGCGCACGCGGCGGCGCCGCTCTCTCGCGAGACGGCTGGCGACGCGGCTCGCCGCCGACGTACGGTGCGCTCGTCCGACGGTCCGCGGCGTGGCGTGCGCGGCGCTGAGCGCCGCTCTGCGAGCGCCTCTGCGCCTGCACTGCCTGTCTCTGTTGATGCTGGTGGTGGTGCTGCTGCTGCTGCTGGTGCCGATGCTGCTGCTGGCGCGGCGCGGCTGTGCGACTGGGCTCGACGCGCGCGTCGCGAGCGTCTGACGCGGCGGGCGGCGTCGGGCAGGTGCGCTTCTCTCTCGGGTGGTGGTGGTGGTGCTGCTGCTGCTGCTGGTGGTGCAGATGCCGCTGCTGGTGCGGTGCGGCTCTCCGACTCGACTCGGTGCGCGCGTCGCGGCTATCTGACGCGGCGGGCGGCGTCGCGGGCGGCAGCGGTGGCGGCTCGCGGGTGGAGGTGGAGGCTGGTGGCTGTGGTGGACTTTGAGTTTATTTCATGGTCGTGTACGGGGACCGGGGGGTCAACCGGGAGGCAGGGGGTTCAACCAGGCGACGGAGGACCGTGGGCCATCGCGGGGACCACTCAGCCCGGAGGGCGCGGTGGGCAGATCCGGATGGTCTTCACGCCGGTGGGTGGCACCGAGGCGTCTTGGACGCTCAGCTCTACCTTAAGCTCCTGAGGGGCGCGTGGTTCTAACCACGTAGTAGGACTACAGCCCACCACAGACACCCTCCCCACTCACTCCTCAAGTGTGTTCACACCCTCACCCTCTCCTCTCTCTCTCTCTCTCCTCTCTCTCTCCTCTCCTTGTCTGTGCTGTCTGCCTGACTCAGGCACTCAATCTGCCGATGCGTGATTGTGTGTGGGCTGCTCCGAGGGGGCCCTCTGTGCGATCCGACGGGTAGGGGGGCTGTGCCCGGGCGGTGTCCGGTGTGGAGTCCCCTTCTGATCCCGCCTGGGATGTTGGGTGTGAGGTTGTGGCGGCTTCGATCCCAAGGGGGGGAGCTGATCCCACTCAATAACCAACTCTCAGGGGCAGTAGGTGGGCGAGCTTCAGGCACGCTCATCTCGATCGTCAAGACGTTGCTACGCGCGGCCTTCCGCGGGGGGAGCTGCGTCGACGGGTGCGGGACCGCGGCGCAGCCAGTGCCGCGGCGAGGCCTCCGGCTGTTTGCGGCGGGCGGCTTGCTGCTCGCTGCATGGCGAAAAACTCGTCTCGCCACACACCAAGGGCGTATGCTCTGGCGAGACGTGAGGCGCATGCGCCCAGGAGGGGAGGGGGCATGTGTAACGACACTGCTAGAGATGCCTTTCGGGGCCCAGAGATAAAACTTCTGTGATGCCATGCGTGACCTAGTAGTGTCCCCAGCTATGGGCGTGTCCACGTTGGAGCCAGGTGTGGTGTGGGCGCGAGAATAGCTCCGCCGTTCATGGAGGCAACCGATGCGAGTCGACTGGTGTGTGTCGTCGTGGTTTCGTATCAAGAATTCTCTCTCTCACAACAGAGAGGTCCCCGCCCTTGCGATCTTTGTGCAGGGTTCTTTGTGGGTGTGGTCGGCGACTAGCCGGGGTCGTCCTCCCGATGGGGGACTAGCACTAGCCGTCTTCCACGGAGCCCTGGGTGTAAGGTAAGGTAAGGTAAACGTCTCCACACACACAAAGTGGTGGGGCAAGGGGGGGCGACCCTCGCATCTCCACGCCCGGACACGGGCAGGAGCCCCACGGCATTCAAAGTGCAAGCACCGGCCCGGTGCCGTGGGTGAGCAACCTGCACCCCACTCCTACTCCTATAACACAACCCCCACAGCGTGGTCGTCTATGTGTTCAGAAACACAGCGAGGCGAGGGTGAAGGGGTAGTACCCGGGGTAAGGGGCTGTGTGGGGCTATCTGTGACTACTCCATCTAGCCTGGGGGGTAGCAGGAGGGGGGGGGCAGAGGGTAAGATATGGGTGAGGCCAGCTACAAGTCGGACGCCCTCCCGTCGTCGTCGGAATACTCCTCGGAGCGGTCGGCGTCCTCGTCGTCGTCCTCGGTCTGCATTGCCTCGCCAGCCGTGAACCTGAACACGGCGTCGGCCGGCGCCGAGGCGCCGGCGGCCGTCATCAGGTGCATGACCATGCGGTCGCGGCATGCCGCATCAATCTTGCCGCGCCCGGCCAGCTCGTTCGCGAGCCAGTCCGGGGCGACCGTCGTCGCCACGGTCCCCTGGGGAACTGTGGCGTACACCTTGCTGGGGCCGCGTCGATACCCGTCGTCCCTCTCCGGGGGCAGCGAGTATTCGACTCCTATATTGGACCCGGCCTGGCTGCGCGCCTGCGCAGCTGCAGACCGCAGCCCGGCCATCACGTACTCGATGTTCTCGCGCAGCTGCGCGCGCGGGCGCTCCGCGTTCTCGGCCTCGTTCGCGGCGCGCTCGCCAGCCTCCCTGGGTGTGAGCCGTACGCGTCGCTGGTTTCTCATCGTGACAAGTGTGCTCCTCCGTTCGTGCACTTCGACCCTCGTGACTCTCTATACTTAAACACCCTTAGGCTGCACGCAGAGTCCTCTGCGGAGTCCGGAGACAAATAACTTCACCCTGGAGGCGGCCAGAGGCCGCCGCGTGCCGGTTTCCCCCGGGCGCTTGCCGTCGCAGGCCGGCTGGACGCGCAATCGCCACGGTTCTGCGACTGTCTCTAGCGACGCCGGGCTCGCCTGCGTCGAGGGGGATGCGAGCGTCGCGCCCCCCCTACGCCCCGTCGAGCCCGTCCTCATCAAAGTCGTCGTTCCCGTCCGTCCCGAAGAGGCGGTCCCCGATGTCGCCCAGCCCGGGCAGGATGGGCGCGAGGGGCGCGCCGTCCGGGTCGTGCAGCCGGTCGATGAGGCCGACGTGGATGGGGACGTCCGGGTGGGCGGAGGAGATGTTGTCGACCGCCTGCGGGGGAGGGGACGAGGGGGGGCCGAGGAGGGTCCCGTGCGGGGGTGGGCGGAGGGGGCGGGGCTGTGGGGGCGGTGTCGGCCCGCCTGCTGCGAGGCGCCGATGCAGACAAACTTGATGCGGAGCTTGAAGTCGGCCGTCGATCCCCACGCCTTGAGGATGTCGATGGCGGCGATGGCGGTCGCGCCCGAGAGCGGGCACCTGCTCACGGGTGGAGGAGGTGGAGCCCGGCGCAGCTCGCAGCGGGATGGAATGGGCTGCGGAGGGCGGGCACGGGTCGAGGACGAAGGCCGTCTGCACCGTCACCCTCTTCGGGAGCTTGTTGTAGTACTCGACCGGCATCAGCGACCTGGCGCAGGCAGGCGCAGGCGGTGGCAGCGCGAGTGGGCCGGCTGCCCTCGAGGCCAGGCCACGTCCGCGACACGTCCGCGACGCGGCCAGCCGTCCGCGCCGCCGCTCTGGCGCAGAGGTCGCTTGCTGTCGCGCTGCAGGTCCCGCGACGGTGGTGGCAGGGTGTGTGTGGTGGGCCGGGGCAGAGGGACGGGCGGCGCGTCACTTTTTGTCGCGGTAGATGCCGAGGTGGTACACGCGCGCGTTGCAAACCATCTCCGTCATCGCCTCGAGCATCCCGAGCCTGCGAGGGCGAGGTGCGGAGGGAGCGTGGCGCGAGCCCAGCGCCGCAGCCGCAGCCGCGGCGCCGCTGCAGCCGCGTCATTGGTCACCCATCTTTGTCTCCTCTTTTGTGCCTGACGCATCTACGGCTGCCGTGCCCGCCACGCATCACCGGCACGATGGCCACGCGATTCGCCAATCGCTGTCCCTGCGGCAGCGGCGGAAGCGGGTGTGCGCGGCGGGCCGTCGCGCCTCGAACGCGGAGAAAGCAGGGTAGGACTCCAGCAGGGTAGGACTCGCGGCTGGCGGCGGTGGCGGCAGGAGCGGCGCGGCGGCTCACCTTCTCCTCTCCGAGGCGAGACGTGACCGCGCAGGGCTCCATCTCCAGATCCGCGGTCGCCTCATAGCACAGGAAGGTCGACACCTCGCGCAGCAGCTGGTTCAGGTACTTTGGGCCCGCCTTGGCCTGAACGCGTGGAGGCGGCGCGATGGCGCGGAGAGCGAGTGCCGACGGAGAGAACGGGCCAGCACGCGCCTTGCGCATCTGTGTGATCTTGTGCAGGATGAGAGGGTGCGATGACTGGAGCACATTGGGAGGATCGGAGGAAGGAGAGGGCATATACGCCGCGCTCCGGCCGGCTGGCAGGGAGTCGGGCTGTTGAGAAACCGCGGCGCCAGAGAGATCGCAGCAGAGAGGGTATGCAGAGAGTGCAAAGCGGCTAGGGATGAGGCCACAAAAGAGGAGCGCCAGCAAGGAGGAGAATCGGAGAACTGAGAGACTGGGACGACTGGAAACAAGAAGACAGTGAGCCACCACAGGCGTCGTTGGCGCACATACTGAGCGGCAGCTGCGCTGGAAATAAGGAAGAGGCGCGTTACTTCATGCGGAAGCTCGACAAACACACGGCGAGGGCGACAGCAAGGGTCGAACGGGCGGCGCCTGACTCAAAAGACACAGCCGCATTCCTGAACGCGCGAGGGCAGCCTCCCTAAAGGCAATGGGGTCTAGATTTGGAGCGCTCGCCGAAGAGGAGTACGACAAAATAGCGCCTGTGATTGCCTGCACGCTGCCCGCACTCACGGACTCCATACCCGAAAGAAAGAGAGGGGATCTCGCGGGGGAGGTGACGAGTGAACTACAGGTAGTGGGGAAGGCAGCCTCGATTGCCATACAGTTACAGACATGGGTGCGAAACAACGACAAGACCAAGGCACGCTCGGGCAGAGGAACGAGAGAAGAATATAGGGTGGATAAAGCGCCTGTTCACGGCATGGAGGGTGAGCCACGCCGAACGTACCGAGCGTAGAGCCGAGCGGAAGGAAGCCGGGGAAGACGACTCCGAGGAGGACGAACCAGTGGAAATCCCGTTGAGCGTTGTCAGCTGTCACGATGCACCCGAAGGGGACCCCAGCGCCGGCATCATCCGTGGAGGCACAAGTGTTCGAAGAGAGAGTGGACCTGAGCAACGATATGACTTGGCGGCAAATGATCGCAGTGGGCGTCAGAAGAGTCGTCCTTGCGCGAGGAGAGCTCGATAGACTCGAGGGGCCAAAATATGCCGCGAGGAGGGCGGAGTTGCGCCGAAAGGCGAAAGAACCCGCGAGAACAAGGGACCGGCAGGCGGCGGCGGCGTCGCAGAACGAGGCAGAGGAGAGCGACGCGACAGAGGAAGAAGCGACAAGGGAGAGAACCACGAGAAGTTGTCCCCACTCACAGTTATTGTTATGGTGTTATGGCTCTCTGGGCATAGCAGCCCATAACATGTTATGGGCTGCTATGGGAGGGCCGTCCCGGGTCCACGGTGTTATGGCCCGAGAGGCCACGCCGGACTGCTCGCCGCTGGAATTTTCGCTTCGCGCGCTGCCGCGCGCGCGCGAGGTAGGTTCGGCATCGATCGCCAAATATTTTCTCGTTTGCCCTCAAAAGTTAAATTCAATAACATCAACCTGCCTCCTGAGGCTGAGCGATGGCTTCAGATTGCTCAATCAAGACCCGCCCTCCCCCCCCCCCCCCCACGCAATTTGCTTCCCGTTTCTAACTCGTACTCTCTGCAGCTCTGCACGCTTCCCTCCATTTTTAACTTGTATGTCTTTCTATGTCTTTCCCGCAATTTAACTCACGTCCTTTTTCTTTCCTTTTTCCACTCATGTCTCGAGGTTTCTAAAAGGTGGAAGCTGGCTGCTCCCGCTTTTTAGTAGTTAAAGCTCCGTGCGCGCCAGTCCCGTGCCAGTGTCGTGCGAGAGGGGCACTTGGAGTACTTGGAGTGCTATGAGGTGTTATGAGGTGTTATGAGTGCTATGAGGTGTTATGAGGTGTTATGAGGTGTTATGGTAGGGTGGGCATAACAGCCATAACAGCGATGGAGGTGTTATGAGGTGTTATGAGGTGTTATGGGGTGTTATGAGCAGCCAGCCATAACAGCCATAACACCTGTTATGGCCGCTCCCATAACCTTGAGTGGGGACAAGAGAAGGGGGCGACCGCGAGGTGGCATGAAGGTTGCAGCGAGAATCGGCGAGAGACTGCGAAGAGAGATAGAAAGAGGCGGACGCCCAAGCAAGGGTGGGCGACGGCTAGCGCACCACACCCCTCTCCTTAAAATCCCTGTGTGGTGGCGGCGTGCCGTCCTCCCATCCCTCCCTTGGGTTGTCCGTTTTCTTTCTTTCTTTTAGAGAGGGTAGCAGAGAGGGTAGCAGAGAGGGTAGCAGAGAGGGTAGCAGAGAGGGTAGCAGAGAGGGTAGCAGAGAGGGTAGCAGAGAGGGTAGCAGAGAGGGTAGCAGAGAGAGAGGGTAGCAGAGAGAGAGGGTAGCAGAGGGCAGAATAGAAGAGGTACCGGTAGCAGAAGGGTAGCAGAGAGGGTAGCAGAGAGGGTAGCAGAGAGGGTAGCAGAGAGGGTAGCAGAGAGAGAGGGTAGCAGAGGGCAGAAGTGAGAAGAGGTACCGGTAGCAGAAGGGTAGCAGAGAGGGGAGAGAGGGGAAAAAAAGAATAAGCCGTAGCAGGGCAGGCAAAGCAAGCGCAGGTTAATTCCGTCTCCCTTTTGTTTGGGGGCGGGCCTCTTTTCGGCGTGAATTCTCGCTTTTTCGCGGCGATGCCTCCCACCCGCCCGCGTCGCGTCGGCCGCGCGCACGACGCCTCGTACGTCCTCTTCGAGGGCCTGCTCGGCGAGCGGCAGCTCCGCAACGCGCGCGCCTTTGCCGCCTCGGACGCGGTGCAGGCGCAGCTCTCGGAGGGCATCCTCTTTGACGAAAAGACGGCGGCGAACGGGTACGCCTCGGAGGAGGAGGAAAACGAGGCGCAGAACGAGGGCGGCACCTCCGCCGCGCCGCCCGCCAAGAAGCAGAAGCGCAACGTCGCCGAGCGCCGCTCGCGCATCGCGTGGCTCGAGCGAGAGGCGGCAGAGGGCGAGGCGTCGCCAGTCATTCCGCCGTGGCTGCACGCGCAACTGCGCTCGGCGGCGCGCACGGCGCACCGGCTGCTGGGCGACAAGCTGTGCCCCATCGGCGTCGACGCCCTCGGCCGCTGGACGCCGCGCTACGAGCCGGTGCAGTACACCGAGTACGGGCCAGGCGAGCGGCTCTCGCGCGGGGTGGGTGGGTGGGCGGGTGGGTGTTCGTGCGTGTGTGGCAGGGCCGAGTCTCCCTCCCCGCGCGGCCCAGGCTCGCACTACGCCTCGTGGCACACCGACTCGGAGCTCGACTCGGACGACGTCGAGGACACGCGCGGCGTCACCGTGGTGGTGCCGCCCTCGGGTCTCGCAGCGCCGCCGTCCTGAGGCGCCTCCCGCGGAGCCTTCCTGGAGCCTTCCCACAGGTGCTGCTCTCGGACGGCGCCGCCTTTGGAGGCGGCAAGTTCCAGACGCGCGCTCGCGGAGGCGCGCCGCAAGACCGTCGAGCTCGAGGCTGCCGCACGGCGCCTCTTCACCCCTGTGGACCGTGCGCAGGCGCGCCGCAGACAATCGAGCTCAAGGCGGGCGACGCGATCGGCTTCCCCGCCGCGAGGTGCGACGCCGCCGCGGCCCGCAGCTTCGCGCGTCGAGGCACGAGCGTCGCGCCCCGACCCCCTCCTCCTCCCCCGGCAGGCTCGAGCACCGCGTGACCAAGGTGACGCGCGGCCTGCGCCAGTCGCTCGTCTTTTGGGCGAACAGGCCCGCGTAGGAGGTTGGGTCGGCTGCAGGGCGGCTGGGGAGGGGAAGCGCGGCCAGTCCGTACCACAGTACTGTACAGGGCGGCATTCTGTCCGGGCGAGACGTGCACGCAGTGGAAGAGCGCCGGCTCGCCGGCGTCATGTCCCCTAATCCCTAATCCAATTCTACGCCCGAGCAAAATTCCAACAATTGTCATTTTTTTTCATCAGCCGCCCCTACCCAAGGATCTGAGCGCGGCGCCGCGCCCAGCCGCAACCCCCAGCCAGCGGGCAGCGCTCCCCGCACCCCAGCAGCTCGCGGGGAGAGGGGAGTAAAAATAGGTACAAGTACGGCGTCGTTAAGGTCTCCACACACACAAGGCAAGCCACAATGAGGTGGTGGGGCAAGGGCGGGCGAAAGAAAAGCTCGGCGGAGACCGCTCGTCTAGCCAATCAGCCTTAAGGTCCTTCGGGCCAGTTTTGTGGGGGGCAAACCCTGCCCGGCCCCTAGGACCCCAGGTAAGGCCCAGGTGTGGCCTAGGGCATCAGAAGGTACCAAGAGGAGTCCAGTCTGAGCCATAGAGCCCATGTCTTTGCCCCTGAAGGTCGCGTTCAAATGCCCGGAACGGACGTTACAGTGGTGTCCGGCCGGCACGATCACCGAGCTGTGACGCGCAGGGAAGCCTGATGAGGTACTGGTTTCTTTGCCCAGGCCTGGCCTACGACCCATGCTGGATCAGCTGAGCAAGGTTTGGGGAGAATCCCCCATTCAGATCTTCAGATATTTTAACGGATGACCGAAATCACCCCGTTTTTGCCCATTTTCGGTCATCCGTCAAAAT